AATTTCTTTTTGGGCTCCGCTACGCATTCACTCAGAATCGCAGCAACGTCTTCAATTGCGATCTGACCATACAACGACCTTCGTGGCCAGCAGAGGTACAGGCCACTTTAGCCTCCTAAATAAGTTTGGTACCAAGCGTTACAAGGCTTCTGTCAACCAAAGGGTGAGAGCGTAGCTGGAAAAGCACACACTTTGTGTCTTATTGGGACTAAGCCTTTTGAAGAAGATAAAGAAAGAGATGCTGTGATAGTGTGCACTTGTGAGAGCTCCCAGACATCACTACAAAACGCTGAACCGCCAAGGCTCACGGTTGACAGATGTCCTGAGACCGGTATCAAGCCCAGAGGGATGGAAGCCAACCATGGCTAGAAGGGTCACGGTCCAAAAATTGATATTTGGACCGCATGTTGAGCAACACTACTTGCCACCAGGGTCAACCGACGCATTCGCTTTTTTCAATAATTTAGTGAAGCCTCGAGTCTCGAACACCACCATGAAACTTGGGAGTCACCCGCAATACGACCCACATCCTCCCTATTCTGATCGCCATCCTGGCCATCATGGCTGTTTCTGGAGTATTTAATTCTGAGACCAACCGACACCCTCAACTTCGACCAGTTTTTACTACAAAGACGGCGACAGCCGTCGAGCGGGGGAGTAAATTGGTCTCATGGAACGGCAAATCCTCCAATTTTGTCCATTTTACGCTACTTTCGCAGAAATTCCATTAAATTCGTCAAAAAAAACCTGCCTGAATGGCAACCCCTTTTACCCACCTCCTTTCGCACTTCTCCAAAGGCACATCCGCACATTCACCTCGCTCAACCCCAAAATGCCCCCCTCCCGAATTTCCTGGATCACAAATGCGACCTCCTCGTTCGAATAGTGTGAACGGACGGTTGACACTGCTTGTCACTATACCACTTCTGCCCTACTGTATGTATTGCAAGTTTTGAATTTGCTAACTGTTAATCTTCTTCAAACAATGCAAACGGAACACTAACACCGCAATTCTGTTCTAAAAGTACATTATCGGTTAAAAAGTAAAACGAAAACATTGAGTAACCCAAAATATCGCATCGCACACACACTCGCTCAGTCTAGTTATTCCACTTCAAACATTCCGTAACTCTTACCTTAATGCTGTAGTGAGTCTAAAAAAGTAAGAATACAGTACTCCTTCAGGAGATGGTTTCTCACTCTATGGTACATAATAAGGGTCAAGAATGTAGTTGTTAGCCGAAATAACTCACTGGTCGTTCAAATTCTGAATTTTTCCATTGGCTGTATCAAGCATTTGACGCTGGTGAGCCACGCCGGCTTCTAGTTCGCCGATCCTGAGAATATCGCTTGAGATTGAAAAAAGAGTGCTTGCCGGCATATATTGGAGACGTCATTTCATTTTCTTAAGGGGGGGGGGGGGAGGAAACAGGGCTGCAATAGAGCGTCCACGCTGAGAAGAAACAAGTGTTTAAAAAATGGGTTCAGAGATGGTGCACTAGTCCATCCGCGAACATGACCAGGCCGTAGTATGTAATGGATCTTTGAGCCAAGAATGGTGGTAGATTCTCGATCTGCGATTCCTCGACTTTATCCCACTTAGCCCTCCACGGGTAGTTTCGGGTTTCATCCAGTAAAAAGAGAAGAGGGAGGCACGTGGTGCGACACTTCATATAGCCCTAAGCATCAATTTTCACAGGGACAGGAAGCTCCGGGATGTGTGTAAATAGGAAGCGAGATGGTACCATATACGATGGATTTTCTCCCTCTGCAGAACAAGATTATAAGTTCAGGAACATAGGGTGTATACCGTAACCTTCTCGACGTTGCACTGGGGCGCGCAATGTCACGTGTCATCGATTTTCCACGTGTTCTAGCCTCCCACTTCTCGTTTTCTCTGCGCCCTCTCAACGGAGAGAGAAATTTTGGCGGCAACAATTAGCAACACGTGACCCCCCTCCATTATGGGATGACATCTGTTACATTCTTCCTTCGGATTTAGATTCTTCGAATTCATTCTTCGAATTTGGAAGAATAAAAGTAACTCTAAGGAGTTTGATATGAAATTGGTGATTGACCATCATTGCTGACGATCATGGGGAAAAGAGGAAATCCTGTAATCCTATAGTGTTGTCAAAGTGGCACAAATACGCAAAGAAAGACACCCACAAGAGAGGATAGTGCAGAAAAGAAATAATTCACACGTATCGATTGATGCGTTCGGCGCGGCGAGCGTGTAACAGTACCCGCCGAAAACGTCAATTGATATTCATAACATTAACCCAAACAAAGAGTGCATAAAAGCTGCCCGAAACATGCACTTTGAACGCAGGCTAGTAAAACAACGTGTAAAAAGCCGAAGCCCCACTTCCACTTCGCGTCACTCCACCATTGGCTGAGTTCGCCGATTCTCCATTGAAGTCGGCTACGTTCATCAGCAAGGTCACGAATACGAGCTTCTTTCTCCTCAAGTACTTGCGCACTAGCCGAATCACGAAGTTTTGCTCTGAAGTAGAAATATAAAACTTGAAAAAATAAATAAACAAAAACTGGTAGTAAAAAACGATGAAGTCAGCGGTAACTCACGATAACTCCTCAGTGATTCCTGTCAGACGACCATTTTCGCTTTCAAGTTGCATGACACGCTTCATAGCCTCTCTAAACAAACTTCTAATTAGTGCTATTCAGAACTTGTGGAGAGCGGACATGATGCCTCTCTGAGCAGTCGCCACGCGCTGCGGTGACGCGTTGCGGTTGTGCCTGAACTCCCTGCCATGCTTTTGTCAATAAGATGTTGCGAACAGGCAAATGGACGACAATTCTAAATTTGTTAGCAGAGGAGTGAGCAAATCCGCTGGGTTAGAAAACAACTAAGTCACTTAAGCGGCAAGCTGTGGTTTGCTTTGTGTGTTTTTGAATAGATGAAGGGAGTTACGTTCGTCGTAGACGCGCTCACAGGCAAGACTTGTGATAAAAGGGGTGTGTAAGAGGGTTCAATAATGCAGAGTTGTCTGGAAAAGCAAAGGGAAGCAAAAAACCCTTGCGCCTCGAGCATGGCACCCCTCCACCTCTCTTTCAGCCGTATTCCACATTGGTATGGAGAAGGGACTGTGCGGACGAGTTTCGTGAACGTTCAGCTCCACTTACTCCGTTGCCAATGACGAGCCGCAATGCTAACGCTGCCGTAGCCACAGTCGCGCTCTTCTCGCGACGCTAGCGTGGCAGCCAACAGCGAAAGGCGGGGCTTGCAGACCAAGGTGGGAACTGCGCGGGTCGAGCGAAAGTTCAACGTCCTTGTAGCTCACTTTGACGCCGTAGGAGCTATGACATCAACGCTTGTTCGTCTGTCTTTCACGATTGGGTATAGAACAGGCGAACATGCCTAATCCCGGACCGCGCATTTGATGAGCGTGCAGTGGTTTACGCCGCCACTTTAGGAAGAAAGCCTGCCTCACAGGGTGAATACGGTCGAGGAAATCCTCGACCATAGCTCTCTACCATGCGAGAGTAGTGCCGAGAGTGAACATCCGCGCGGAGAGCACGATGGCGAGTGTGAATGTCCGCGCGAGAGATCGTCTCTGATCGGGCAGAGAATCCTCGACGTGCCGTTGAGGAATCCTCAAGCGATATTCACCCTGCTGCCTTATCAGATAAAAAGTGTGCTGAGACGTTGCCTCTGTAAGAAGGCGCTGTAGAATGCAGAAAAATATGAGCATTTCACGCGCAAATTTCAAAGTTTGATCTAAGTGAACAAGTGGTCGTAAATGGTGTAAAGTACATCCTCACTGGATCATCGCAGGAGTTGGCTGACCTTCTCCATACTATGTCGTTCTAATTAAAAGGCGAGCTCTCGGTTCAAACACATAAGTGGCTAACGTGAGCGCTCCTGCTTTCTTGGCACGGCTACATATGTATGCACCAGTGAGATGCGCCGAAAGAGTGCGTCTATAGTGAAAGTGTAGCGTTTTTCGCTGTATTGGTCGACAAAAAAGTCTACGCACGATTTTGTTATACATATTTTAGTTTGTAAATGCTTCGGGTAAGTAATCTTTGTGAATGTTTTCTCTGTAAGCCTTGGTAACGAATGATCACCACAAAGGGAAGGGAACTGTGCTGGGGGCGTGGCTTGATCTTGCAAACGCTAGGACCGGTGGGCGGTGCTTCCAGTTGCCGTGCCGCCTACGTCTTTCACGAACCAATACGAAATTAAACCAATAGGCACACCTGTTGATTTGTTCACATTTCTGTCGTTCAGCTTCACTATTTCTAAACGATTGATTGGCTAGTTGCAATTTGGTTTCCAGCGCTCGTATCTGTAAAATTAATCATAAAAATTCGGCTACTCGACTTAAATGAACGAACATTTGCATAACTCGAAAAAATTGGCATTAGCTCGGGCACTGATATCGACTATGTTTCATGGTACATACCTGCGCTTTGGCTGATTCATCAGCGTTCTCGAGTCCTGATCGTGCTTTAGGTGAGCCTTAATTTCCAGCTATTTTTTGGAATAATAGTTACACAGGTAGTACGACTCACTTGGAGGTGGTACTGTTAGACGATCAGGATCGCTAGTCATAAGGCTGAGCTGATTCTCCAAGTATGCAACCCTGTAATTCTCATACCTTGATCGTGTTTGTACAGGATTTGTTGTACTGCTGAGAAATCTGACTTCTCTTTCGAGTTGCTCAGCCATTCTTTGTGCTCTCCAAGATGCCATTCGCTTTCCTCTTTCTCCTTTTTCGCGGTGGCAAGATTAGCTCGAAGATCAGCAATTACATTGTGCAGATTGCTTAATTATTTAAGATTAAATTTTTCTGTAACTACGTTAATCCATTTGAATGTAAGGGTAGAACGCCACTCGGACTAGCCCATCCAATTAGCTGATTCCTGATAACACCACATTTAACATGCGGTGATTCCTTCAAAATGAATTTATACCTAACGCAAAAATTTAAGGCAGCGATTACGATAAGTTCAAGAAGGGTTTAGTGTGACGTGGTGGTGCTCAATGGTACGCCAGTGCGAAAAAAGCAGAAAAATCCGTCAAGAAAACGCAAAACGGGACCCCTTTTTTGGCCGTTGGTTTTCACTCATGAACAGGTAACAGCTCAGAAAGTGGACGTATGAACGAGTTCACCGCAACGCGTTTGGTGGCACCATGCCAAACCAATCGAGATGCTCCATTTGCGCCGCTGCTGGCACGCAGCTCGTCCAAATCAACAAGTAAACTAGTGGGCGGATCGCTTTTGGGGGCGGAGTGCTTTCGAAGTCCTGCTCAGCAACCAGCGCACCTTTCGTCGTGAAAGCGCCACACCTCGCTTCCTGGCAGCCAAGTAACTGATTCGTGTGGTGCATATGCTTCCCCGATGCGCTCCCTCTTTATCGTAATCGCTGTTTTAAGGGCCTTCACGGAAAAGCTCATCGGCGGCGCGTAAGCGGGCGCGTGCTGATGCCGTCACAGCAGCGCAGAGTATAGATGCAGTTGGTGGGAATGCTAGACATCGGCCTGATAACGCACGTAAGTGCTGTAGGGACGCTCATAAGATAGCATCGCATCTAATGTTCTACCCAAAAGCACCCTTTACACAACTGTGACTCAGTCAACCACTTTTTCCAGGTCCGTAATGGATTTGACAAGAGACTTAAAGGCAGTGATTACGATAAAGTAGTTGCGCACAGCTGAAGTGTATGTGCCGCTGGATGCAGTGGTGCAGCGGCAAAGGGAGCGAGGCAGACATTTCTCGCTGATCGACGGGATAGTTCAACGTAGTAAATCTTTAGAAACCGTAACCGATCTGTCAGCTTATCCAATTAATGCGCTATCGATTAAAGCACAGTGTTAGTCAGCTATCGTGCAAAACACGTCCAAACCACCCTTTTCTTCGGTTGCTGGTCTGTCCAGTTATGAATCCAAGAAAGGACAAAGGGATTCTTCCTGAGTGTTCTTGCGGATTTCTCTCAGTCCTTCCTAGCCACCAACGCACACTTCGCTCGGAACCCACCCAAATCTATCGTAACCGCTACCCTTAAACTTATTAAAGCGAGCTTATATGACTGAAGAACAGCAGGCTTCACAATCGGCCGATCTGAAGACCGTATAGCAGCTTTAGCTCTGAAACTCACTTGATCTCCTCTTCCTTCTCTCCGAGTTCTTGGATTCTAAAATCAAGTCGATATAATGGTCACCCGCAACTTATTCTTCGCATCCACTTACCGGTTTTTCGCATCACGGAGCTCATTGCGAGCTGTTTCGAGCTCCTCAACGACCTGCGCAATATGCTGGTCTTTTTCTGTGATGACGGCCAGCTGCTCGGCTTGGATTCCCTCAATGAGCTGCGTCTTCTCTTCCTCCATTTGTGTGATCTTCTTTTCCAATTCAGCGATCCTAAAACCCGAGAGGTAATTGACTACCTCCAACGTAAAGCTTGGTCATTAATTAGGAGTTTTGGGCTCTCTGGATAAGCGGACCCCGCCAACGAGCGGGACAAACGCTAAAAAATAGGAAGAAAAAGGTTCTCGCTCTCTCTATAAGTGGCTCCGTGAACTCACAAGAAATAATGTTGACAGAGCGCAATAAAATTCTCAGTGAAGTAACGTGTGCTTCATTTCAGCCTTACCTGTTAAAAAGTTGAGCATGGGTCCTATTAGATAAATGCGAGCAAAGGTCGAGGCTTCATGGATAGGGGGTAGTGTATGTGCGTGGGTAGGGAGGGGCAATTCAAGCTAGGGGGAATCGTATTGAATGTTTGGGAATAGTGAGAAAGCGAAAGAATGGGAACCGCGTAAAAATTTACTATTCCAGCAGTCAGGTGTATTCCTCTATTTCCCACCCGCAGGCGAGAATTGTCTTACACCTGAATAAAAATATCCCACTTCTCGTCGGTTTGTGCATGTGGAACGGCGGCCTCCTCTGGTACAATAACAGTTTTTTCCACATCCCCAAGTCGAGCACGGAGTTGCGCAATCTCCTCGTCCTTCTTTCGCAGTTCTTCGTCTTTCTCGGTTAGCCTGAAAATTAATGACATATAATGGTAACTAAATTGCGGTGTATTTGAAATGCTTACAGCAATTTCGTTTTTTCTAGATTGTCGCCTTGCTCTTGATGTTCCGCGGTCTGTTCCACTTCTGATGCAGTAGATGTCTGTACTGGTACTTCACTAGAATGTACATAGCATAAAAAAGAAAATTAGTAATATTGGGACAAGTGAAGATGACAACGATATAAGAAAACAAGTCACACGCCATGTTGCTGTTGCTTATCAGGAGTCATTTGAAATTGAGTTCACGGATGAAGAAATTAAGGAACCTTCAGTAAACACTGCAGGCAACCCCACCAAAAAGTTACTTTCAACAATCAGGTTTAAGTTACTTAAAGGCACTGGGTGCTATGACTGGAAGGCGAACCATTTCAACGACGTCATCGGCTGTCACTGGTGAACGGATACAGTCGCGTGCCGTCGGAAACAGTTCCCTACGGGATGAATAATCGTCGAGGATTTCCTCGACAATGGCTCTGTGTTGTGTAAGAATAGGTCGAGAGTGGATACCCTCCCCTTCAAAAAGCGAGAAAGTGTCGGGTGCAGACCAACACCACAAGTGACGACGGCCTCCAAGTAAATCTGGTTAGTAGTGGTTCATAGTGATAGCTGATTTTGGTAAATGATAGTTGTAATTAGTGACAACTGATAGAATACAACTGCAACAGGCTAATCATTTCATTGGCAGAAAACATTTGCATTTTGTGGAGGCCGTCGTCACTTGTGTATGGTCTGCACCCGACACTTTCTGGCTTTTGAAGGGGAGGGTACACGCACGGACGATTACGTGACTACTCGAAACGCCAGAGCACAGACGATTAGAGAACGGCGCCTGGCTCGGCTCCAAATCCCAAGAAAGAAGGTGAGAGCCTAGGACTAAGCCTTGGAGGGAGGAGGGACTCCGAGTGGGTGAGCCAATTACATGTGGCAAAGTTTGAATGTGTCAGATCACAGTAATCATAAGCCGCTGTTTAAGCGAGAGAGCGCAGGCGAGAGCATCAAATCGAGGCAGTTTAAAGGACCGAGTTCAAGTTGTCCGTAGGCCCGCACGGGTGGCTCACGCGTGACGAGAGTAAATGTTCGCGCGGGAGAGCGTGACTGAATAGGCGAAATCCTCGACGAGTCATCGACGAATCCTCGATCGATTTTCACCCTGCTTGCCCACGCAATTCCACCAAGGACGCCAATTCACGTCAACAAATCCGCCCCATCTCTCGACCACCGCACCTGCTGTCTTTCAGAAATAGAAAACTCATTAGGATTGAGCATTTCATATAAATACAACTTTTCGCATATACATTACGTTATCCCCCACTAGTCGTTCTCATCTTCCAAAAAAAGTTACCCCGCAGACTTGCATCTCATAAAAGCGGTTTGTTTTTGCAAAAGCAAAAAAAGACGAACAAACACGCAGGTTTCCGGTAATAAAATATTTCTTCTCAAATTATACTTTTGAGAGAGAACACTCTTCTTCTGTGCCTATCTATCGCCTCTAACTTCATCGCGGAATACCTTGCAGTAAGCTGGTGTACAAACCGCTCCTACCCTTCAAAGAAATTGAGCACGGTCAAGTGAGTTCCATGGAAATTATGCACCGACGGTGCCAAAAGATCAATAATTTTAATCAACCTCAGTTTACTAAATTGTTATCAAGTTCCCCACAGTTCTTGTTGGGACATTCCCCAGTGTTTTGATATTGGTTTGTTTCTGTTTCCTTATGACGTGTTTTTTAGGTACAAACAAACAGGTAGATATAAAAAAAAGAATTTCTGTCCCATTACGTTTGACGTTCTTCTGTCTTTTCCAAAGATTGCTCGAGTTCAAGATTGCGTAGCATTTCACTTCGCAACTCCGCTCTTAGCTGTTTGTTCCTGAAATCAGCGGGAAAATTAACTCACTAGAAGTATACAGTGAACATTAGCATCTGCTTGAATTATATCCATAACAATATCCTGCTTACCAGGAAAGTCTTCCAGAACATGGGGCGCTTTTTTTCAAAACAAATTTCGCAGTTCTAGAGAAACGCGCTGGGAGCATAAAAACTGGGAGTGCTTTTTTTTTCTGAACTGCCTTAAGAACGCTTAGAACCGGCTTTTGTTTTGATCCCCACCGAAGACAAATTTTTGCATTTCTCTGATTTCCACTTTATCGAGCTCATAGATCTAAGCTCATTCAGTACTCAAAAAGCTTTCAAAATGTAGCTATTCAACGCCATCGAATGCTATCGAGTCCATAAAAATGGGAAAGTTTCACTTCTCAAGGAAAATTTTCTGCCCTTTTTCTGGCAATCCCAGGGCCGCTCAGAAAAAATGATCATCAGTTTTATGCTCCACGCATGTGCCCCTATATCATGCAACAAAACCGTTTTGAAAAAGCGCTCCATGTCCTGAAAGACTTTCCTGGTTAGAGCAACGTCTGTGGAGTACAAAGCATCCTTGAAAGAGCAGAGGATCACGCACAGTGGCTGGATCATCAAATCACGGGTCGCAATTAGTTGCCAAGAGCCAGCCCATCCGTGAGTGAAAAAGAAATCCCCAAGCACAGTAGTCGCGGCATTGTTCCGACTCAAAAGTGCGCGGCAATGGGGGTAAAGCTCTGCCTTGTTCTTTGCCAGCGCTTCCATCTTCATCAATCGCGCCATACGTGGCGTTTTTGCGCCAGCTTGCGTCCGACATGATCTCTCGCGTTTTCCTCTCTTCGCAGCGCTGTGTCTCTCCGTTATTCCACGAAGGACCTCACAAGAAAATTTCAGTGTTTTCTATGGCATTTTTTGCTTTTTCTCCCCACTAACATTCCTCATCGCACTTTTGGTCTCATTTCGAACGAAACAACACACCAGGTCGATCTCGACCCGTGACTTTGAGGCGAGTTTTTCCATAAATCCTGACAAAACGGCTCCCAGACGCCCCGGAGTCCGGGGAAATGTGTGAGGAGATTGGCGAGGAGAATAAGGCCGATGTCAGACTTTGCGAATCGCGCGATTCGCTAGCGTCTGCGGTCGCGTCGCGGCCAGTGAATCACTCAATTGGCTGGTACCGCAACGCGACCGCGGACGCTAGCGAATCGCGCGAATCGCTAGTAGCGAATCGCGCGATTCGCAAAGTCTGACATCGGCCTAAGACTAAAAGTGTCATTGGTGGACGGGGCGTGCGCCGTGATAGGTGGGGTTCCCACACTAGTTGTTGAGGACATGTGGCTGCGCCGTTCCATATTGCCTGAGCCCCGTATGATGCGCGTGTCAGGTCCGGTTATCACATATCACAATAAAAAGTGCTTCTCAACCTCGAAAACCAGATACTGATATGGCTGCTGCGAGTTCCTTTGTGGATATAACGCCGTTGACTTCTTTTCACACGTTCATGATAAATGTCAGTGTGAATTGTTAAGTAATTTTGATTTATTTCTCGTCATATGTCATTTACCTAATAAGTTTCGACGGTTGACATTACTCAAAACTTTGTTTCTACCTGTTCGTTATTACATCAAGTCTTTTTTTACTTAGATGCATATTTGCCGACAACCCGAGAGAACGATCAAATCCACAGCGAAGGAAGTATACTAGCCAATCATACAGAACATTTAACACGTTGACGACCGCCGTTATGCGCGTACTGCTTCAGGTTTTTTCGTATTCTCTCATCAGTAGGCATTGAATCTTCAGCGTTTTCATTATCAGTAATGAAAAATGTTTTTCGGATCCAATAATGTACATGGACCGTTGTGGAACAGGAAAAACGCCAAATAAATTAGGGAAACTAGTCTGCTCCATGTGAAAGTGTGGTATGACATCATACCACGCTGGTCGTCAACGTGTTAAGAGATGATTACGATCGCTAGTCACCATGTTTGGGCCCACTATTCAAACAGGCTAAGCCATGAAGGTATCTGGAGAAGATGCTCATAAAAATAAACGCTCCCCTAGACAATAAATTTTATTCAGTAGAACTATGCTGAAACGCACGCCAAAACCGAGATTAAAACAGAGACACTACGGAGGTCTCGGAATTCGGAATGCGGAATGCCTATTGTTGCAGAACAACGCTCGCGCCACACGAACCTGCCAGCAGGAACGCGCACCTCGCATAAGGATTCAACTTATACGGTCACCTTTGAAGGAAAGGAATAGAGGCCATTAATCCATTCATCGCTACGAATTGCGCAGAAAAGTTTTACAACGCATTTTTTCCCTCCGCGCGCGGTGCACGGCATATTTGCGTGATGCGCGGCATGTGCTAGTAACTAGTATTCGGTGGTTAATGTTATCATTAGAGCGCAGTTACCGCGATGTCAGCCGCATTGCATTCGGTAAACAAAGGATCTGCCATGCCTGTCATTAAAAATTCAGATCGTTAGCGAATTGACTCACATTAGCTTCAGTTCCTCGTTCGCGTCCAGTAACTTCTCAATTTCTCTGTTCTTTTGTTCGACGAGTTGATTCACGGTGTTGTTATCGCTCTGGAATGCTCTTGAGCATTGTTTCGACAGCACGAAAAGGATGAGTAAACATTAGTTCCGTCGTTTTTAGTTTTTCTAGGAGGATTTACAGCGCTGCTGAGTGAGAAGGACATGTAATTCTAAAGCGCAGAGGCTTAGTCCTCAAATGCTATTAGTACAGATAACCCACGCCCCACTCGTGGTGAAGCGTACTGTGTACGTGGCACAGTGTCATGTAAAAGGAATCATATGTTATCATATTTGTGTTACCAATCAGCTTTAGCGATCACCGTTGGTGTGACTACTTACCGACCTTTCACGGAATTTTCGGCTTCTTCAGTGACTGGCAAGTTCGCTAATACAGTGCTCAAAATACGTGTTTTCTTTAACAATCGATTACGTAACAATAATTCGAGATCTTGTTCTTATTAATTGGCTCAGGAACTGAAAAACTGATTACAGGGACCATTCGTGGGCTTGGTAAGAATGTCTATATTAAGGAAGAGCGAAATTCAGAGAATCGAAGGCGAATAGGTACCTCCCAAGTTTTGACCGCAAGCTAGGTTACATCAGGTGAAGCCGGTAGGCAGAGGGGGGAGGGGAAGCAGAGACGTAGGTTATGGTGGTGGCGATGGACGAGATTGGCGATGTGTTTGATGAAATAGTGTACTCGGTTACGTAGTAAGCTAGAAGAAATCAGCTGAATACAGAGCAATAGGTAAAAGTGTGGCATAAGCAAACAAAGGGGGGGGGTGGGCAGGGGTTTACCTAAAGGGTCCGCGACGCTATAGCATTACACTGAATCCCTCGAAAGAGAATACCTTAGTAATAGTGAATTCAGTGGTGGATAGACCCCGCAAAACATCTTAGCGCTCAAGTGACGAACCAACTGGGGTTGAGAGGCACCTGGCCAACAGATTTGTACTGCAGTAACAACTAAGCCTAAACCTGCCGAACCTCCTGCTCTCGGAAAAGATTTAAGATGGTCAGCTCAGTGGAATAAGGGCAGTGAGGACCGTTTAGGGAACGAAAATGAGGCGGTAGTGAGGCAGAGTCAAGTAGCGCGCCCTTTCATTAAACGGTCAAGGTAAAACGAAGAAGAAACGAAAAGAAAACGATCACTGAAGAGCTCTGCTAATATAGAAGCGGCAGTAGAGGAATGAAATACGGTTTGCTCTCGAAAGAGATAGAAAAAGGGAAAAAACAACAAAAGGTACATGAAATTCTCTTACAAAGTGCACAAACTGGTGGATATACCACAAATATTCGACTGTGGCTTTCCAATTCTTAATCAGCCCGGGACAAGTTTCGGCTATCAGAAATGGGCCAAACCGCAAATGACACTGAATGTATAGCATTAATGTAACAGCGTTCTCAATGTTCACTTTCAAGACGAGCAATGCGGGGTAGTGAATGACAAGTGGCTCAACTGTCACAGCTAATGTTCACAAATCAACTAACGGCTGGAACCTAGCGGAGTTCAATGAAGCTCTCTATACCTCCAAAAGCTCTCTATACCTGCAAGGCTGCCTTAATACTACAGCCTTTCTTAAGACAGAAACTCTAAGCAGTAAATTGGCTGGTACACGCAATTCGTTGTCAACGCAATTTAAATACGCGATTATATATGGCAGTCGAGTGCGTGGCGCATCTCATAAGAAAAAACCAGTGAGCAGTGAGATGAACAATTACGTGATGGTCCTTGGCAAAATACGACGAGTTAGTGATTGCATGGTAGGTAATGAAGAAGATAGAAGTGGTATGCTAAGAGAGTGGAGTCATGCAAAATGAACGTGCACATTTAGCGAGCGGAAAATTGCACAGCGAATTCGAGATGGAGTTTAACGAGGGTTTTCAGTAGTCTACAACTGTGATATATAAAACCGTGAATATATAGCTAACAGGCAAGAGCTTTTGGCAACCAAGTATGAAGTAAAGTGGGTCAAAGCTGATTTTCTTGAAAATTACGCTACTGGAGCGAAGTCGCGGGCTATTGTGAACTCCTACCCTGACCTGGGTATTGTTCATTCCATTTCGAAATGGTCTTGCAATTTCCAGCGTGCGACATGTGTACGATTGCATCTATCGCCATACCCAAAGTGCACGATGCTGTCTCGAAGTTCTCATAATGATGGCACGATTATTGATTTTGCAAAGTTGACGCCATGCTCTTTTGCCTACTTGTAAGCAGAGAAAGTTGATCAGAACACCTGACTTCACAGTACGCTTCACCATTTAGGAAACGTAGCGAGATGAGGGGAACTCCAATAGTAGAGTCAAGTTAGACTTCACTAAAATGTAACTATTGACAGAGCATGAAGAAAATACTGAGCGTAGTCACCTATTAGGTCTCTGATTGGCAATAATCTCAGCAATTTATTTTCAATATTTAAGAAAAATAATGAATTGTTAGGTAAACCAATGATGTAGTGATGTACCTCGATTATTACCTCATCGCTGATATGCACATTTTCAGGTTGGGCTTCAAAGCCGCTTTTAACACCTCGTGTTCGTGAGCTGGTGCGAGTCGTTTTCTCGGCTTTGGGCGTCTTTGCGAAGCCGTACGTAAGGCCGGCGGCCGCTGAACATTCACAAAACACTTTCACAGCCTGTGTAACACTCATTATCAATAGCTTTTCCTCAGACGTTGAAGGGAAAGAACTTTGCAGAATGTAATTCGTTGCTTTGTTTTATCACCTTCGAAAGCTTCGCATTATAGTTCGCCGAAAATAGCTTGCTTCGAAATACCACATGATTCGAAAAATCGGCTCAAAATACTGTAATGTAGATAAGAGTATTATACTGCAAGTAAATCAGAACACCTGACTTCACAGTACGCTTCACAATTTAGGAAACGTAGCGAGATGAGGGGAACGCCAATAGTTAGATTCAATTCAAGTTGGCTAAAGGGCTGTTCTCTGACACCATGAGTCTTCACTAAAATGTAGCTATTGACAGAGCATGAAGAAAATACTGAGCGTAGTCACCTATTAGGTCTCTGATTGGCAATAATCTCAGCAATTTATTTTCAATATTTAAGAAAAATAATGAATTGTTAGGTAAACCAATGATGTAGTGATGTACCTCGATTATTACCTCATCGCTGATATGCACATTTTCAGGTTGGGCTTCAAAGCCGCTTTTAACACCTCGTGTTCGTGAGCTGGTGCGAGTCGTTTTCTCGGCTTTGGGCGTCTTTGCGAAGCCGTACGTAAGGCCGGCGGCCGCTGAACATTCACAAAACACTTTCACAGCCTGTGTAACACTCATTATCAATAGCTTTTCCTCAGACGTTGAAGGGAAAGAACTTTGCAGAATGTAATTCGTTGCTTTGTTTTATCACCTTCGAAAGCTTCGCATTATAGTTCGCCGAAAATAGCTTGCTTCGAAATACCACATGATTCGAAAAATCGGCTCAAAATACTGTAATGTAGATAAGAGTATATACTGCAGTAAATAATCTGCTTCCTGCGTGTTCGGGGAAGTGTTACTATCGTGCCGACATTGCTTTGATCTACACAATGACAATGAAGGTTTCGAGCTCTCCTTCTTTGTGTTCCTACCTCTTAAAGGCACGCTCCGGATTAGGCGCGCTCGCCTGTTCCATCCCGGGGGTAGTAGACAGGCGGACAAGCGTTGATGTCGCGCCCCTTTTGCCGCTTGAAAGTGCGCGACAAAGGCGCAAGGAGCTCGTCCGACCCGCAACTCACACCTTCGTCCGCAAGCCCCACCCTCCGCTGTCGGTTGCCACGTGGCGCATTTGAGGCAGCGGTCCCATTGCGACCCAATGTCATTGGCACTGGAGCAACTAGAGTTAGGTTCGTGAAACTCGTCCAACGCGCCCTTCTCTATCCCAAGGTGGAATGCGGCTGAAATAGGGGAGGTCTCTGTGCGGGGCGTAATCGGTGGTTTCGTTTGCTTTCCTTCTCTTTTCCAGACCACCTCCCACCTCTAGCTTCATAACTGAACGCTTTTCCACACCTATTTTATCCCGAATCTTGCCTTTAAATGTATTGCATTCTAATAGCGTCGATATATGACGTCACAGATTACATTGAAGTAGTCTGAATCAGCGCATGTATACGTAATCACTCACACCAGGGTCTACTGTCATTTCGGGAAAGTTGTGATAGTGACGCTCACTTGGAGGGGGCTACACGACCCCTCTCTCGGGCGGTATAGTGTCAATCGACAAGCCGAACCTGTCACATCTAACGGGCGGGAAGGGGAGGGGGCGCAGGAGTAGTACAGGTAGCTAAATATAACTCCAGAAGCAGCGAACTTTACCTATTTTTATCCGCACTTCCGCCCTGAAATCAATTTCTCTAAAAAGAATTCGCGTTTCAGAAGAAGAAGGCGCACACGCTCCAACACAACCCCCACCCTTCCTTCATCACGACCCCTACCAACAACCCAAAAGTCCTCCTCGGTAATGTTTCAACAAATGGTTGACCGTGACTAATCTAGGTCTATTTAGTGCTGGTAGTCGATATTATGCCCTGCTTAGGAAGTGCTAATAAACGCCTTTGACAACACGCACTTTCCAATTGTTCATCACCGTTCACAAAATCAATCAAAACTCATGTTTTGCGCTTGAAGAAACACTGCGACTTCACATCCTCATTAGAGTTGAAAAACAGTTGATATTGGGTTGGTGCATAATATCGTAGCGCTCGCATTCGGCAAAAACGTTCAAAGCAAAACCCAAAAGCAAAGCCAAGCATAAAACTAATCAGTGATGTTCTTCTCGTCATTATTTACGACTTTGATTCCATTTCGCAAGAAATTACCGGGTTCAGAATTTAAAAAAGGGTACTGAGCCCGTTTTCAGAGTCCTCATTATTCTCAATATTGTACGACGTGAATATGATTTGAAATTGAGGGTCGACTGGAGTAAGGTTCGATGATGACGATGGATTCCGAAAAACTCCTATTTTGGCAGCTTTTTTCTTTATATAGATTTTCGCCCACCTTGATTTCCAACTTCTAAGCACCATATCTGAGTACACTTACAATATAGAAGAAAATGACAAACAAGGTATTGTAGAGCGGAAGAAGTACTTTCAAATGATATATGTGATTTCCTTGGTAATACTTGTATTCACTGAATTTGTAGCTCGAAAAAAAAAACGCTACGTTATTATGCACCAACCCAATACTTTCATTCCATTCACTGCTGGCAGCAAAGTCCAGATAGAAAGCTTCCGGTTGCAGGATCGAAGTTGTTCTGTCATTGCATGACAAAACAATTTGAACGTTCGTGATTCTTTTCTGACAACTGACTGCAGCCGAACGGCAGCTGCCATCGCAACAATCATCGGTCTTTACACGTCAACGTGAGTCTTAACCTTTTCACTTACGCAAATCCATCACGTAACTTTTGTGCACACGTTCTATCTAGACCAATAACACCAATATATCCATTGTCCAATCCAATGCAACAAAAAACGTACCAATCAGCTTTTGAACTGCAGAGACGTTCTTCTCGAATTGTTGTGAGGCTTTTGTGTAGTCCGCATAGTGAGACCCGTGTTTACTACCGTGAGCTGAAAATTATGTATTACAGCCTTTCAATAATACCGCCACTTATTTTAACACTAGCGAAATCTAGAAAAAAAAGTCGGAATATTTTGCAGTAGGATGTTTGAGTATTTGAAGACACACACACGCAGACACACATGTCAGGCCGATGTCAGAGATTGCGAATCGAGCCATTTGCTGCAGGCGTTGCACCCAGAGTCAACCCTGCGTTGCGCAGTTCGCAACGGCACGTTGAGAGATCCTCAACGCACGCTGTATGGGCGGAGACACAGACGGCTCGAGCATGCGAGTGTGAATGTTCGCGCGAGAGAACGTGTCTAATCGGGCGAAACTGCGCAACGTGGCCGTTGAGAACTGCGCAACGCAGGGTTGACTCTGCGACCGCGGACGCAGGCGAATCGCTCGATTCTTAAAGTCTGACATCGGCCTCACATGGAACCTATGGACGGAGCCACTTGGACCACTGTGTTCATCTCATTGATGAGCTAATCAACATGGCAGAGCAGGGATGCACCAATGAGGAAGCCGCAATACTGATGTTGACTTCGCCCCCACGATGAGCATTGCTTGTTCATAAATAGATAGGACATAATTAGAGCAATATCTCCCACAAGCCTTGTGCACCGGAAACCTTGCCGCCTCTGAGCAGAAAAAGATCAACGAGTGGATTTAGTAACTGGGCAAACAGTGACGGGAGAAGAGAGCCGCGTTGGCGTTACCAGTCACTAATGCACGATTACATTTTGTGATTACTCATTGACACTGAACAACGTTTGTTGAAAGACAGTGGGTGCAATGGCTAAGAGGAAGAGCGGTATTGATGACGTGGACTAGCGTCATTGGTGGATTAGACCTTTCAGCGTGCTAGGGTCATAGTCGGAGTCACCCCGAACGAACTTCTACCAGTGAGAGCTTGAGGATCATCAAAACCGCGGGTGTCTCCCAAGAGGCCCGCGGTTTTGATGATTCGCTCAGCTTCGAAGGAAGAGACGCAGACGCGGCAAAGGACGAGTCCCAGCGCATACTGTGGCGGTTGGGCGCAGGGTCAACCCTACGTTGTTACTAGTAACAACGGGGGGTCGTACTTGGTTGAGTTTGTAGGAGGGGGTCGTACCCGTGGTTGAGTTTGTAGGAGGGGGGGTCGTACCCGTTTCAGTCGCTTGAAATCACATGTGAGTTTGAGGTGAAACTGAAGTTTTTATGGGTAGGTAGGCTGGGTGAGTTGAGGGGCGCAGGAAAAAAAATTGCCGTTTCAGCGCGCGTATATAATAATGGGGGTTTGGGTTGAGTGGTATCAGAATTAAATACTATAGAGACGATGATGGTGGTCGAGGTGTGGAAAAGGGGGTCGTATCAAATCCACCTTGGGGGAGGGGGGTCGTAAAAATTTTTCAAAAAGTAACAACGATAGGACTGACCCTGGTTGGGCGTCAGGTTTGAATAGGGTGTATCATACTAGGTCACAGCGTGCGTAGGGCTCGTCCATTGCCGCATCTGCGTCTCTTCCTTCGCCGCGCGATGGGCCTCCTGAAGGAACCCCAAAACCGCTCCACCAGGTATGAGTCCAGTGCCTTCAAGAACGGGAGCTTAGTTAAGTTTCCAGTAGTTACTGGAGTGGACTGCCGCTACCAGGTGACCAAAGAATATAGAATTGACCTTGGAGGAGATGGTAAGTACTTATTAACTTCACAGTAACCTTAAGGGGCACTTAAATGCATACTATGTTTCCAAACCATACCAATAGGCCGTGGATAGTCCTACAGTTGGAGCGAACTCTCAATCAGCTGAATTTTTCATCCCTCGTACTTTAGTGAGTTGGCACCAAAAACAATAAGAAATGGTGAAACGAGAATTCAAGATCAGCAGAATCCCCTAATGGATGCTTCTAAGAGTTAACTTTCGTAGGGTTCATGGTTCTGAATAAAAAGCAAATGCTCAACGCATCCCGAAGAGGTCATCAATTTTCAACTCCCTACTCTTCATTTGCCCTCAAACTGTTCTGAAAGGTTCCAGGAACCATTGCGTAATGATCAGGCAAACCTTGCCCCTTGCCATAATTGACTGGCCAGTTTGGTCTGGTCCCTTTTCGACACAACCGCGGTAACCAGCCCCACTGCGTATTAGAGTCAAGGCGTGTCTTTCCGATTCCACTTGTAAAGGCCGCAAATCTATTTGTCACCAAAATTTAGGCCAAGGTTTCATGGGGCTATAAAGAAACCATTCGAAAAAGCATGATTTATAACATGAGCGGCGGTGAGATGATGATATGTGAGTGGTACGGGGCCCGTCGTTTGCGAGGGCCCAGAACATTCATTATCAAAAGCCCTTCTTCTTCAAGAAGCCGGTTCTTCCACTTCTGAATGAACACGGTTATTATGAAATCTACTGCATCTCTGGATGGGTTGAACCGACACAATGCTCTCATGCCATGAGGAGAACAAATCTTGCCAAAGGCTGCTGGTCGCTATGAAAGTCTACCGTATCACCTGGTCGAGTTCAAAATCACGAACCCCTCCCATCACCGTCTCCGATGGCGATGGTATTAGTAATTCGTTGGACCTTGTCCCTCCTGACGCACTTCTACCCCGAAAAACGACAAAGTTGGTCGAACAAAGCATGGGGATGGGGAAGAGGAGAGGGAACTACATAGCACAGATAAGCGTTGAAGCGACAGAAATTGTAAACCTTTTCCCATACGTTTCAGAAATTCGACCACTAATTGAACCAGAAAATGACTATGCTACGCAGAGGATGGGAGTTGACCCTTCTAGTACTGCTTCACCAACTCGGAAATCATATCCCGAATTTCGTGAGAAGACGGTAATGAAGCTTCCACTGTCCACGAGACGCATGGTCTTAGTACCAGATCAAGCTTGAATCTCGCTCAGGCCATTGAAAGCTTCCATCACTTCTGGATCTGGTAAATAGAACTAAAATGGACTGTAGGAATAGAGGACATAACTTCAGAATCAGCCGGCAACCTCAAGTCATTACATTGCATGTGTCACAAATGGCACTACAATTTTGAAGGAATATATGCCTGTGGCGCATTCCAATAGAGATTGATCGACGCTGAGTTGTTCATCCTTTCGATTCAAGTCTCATGTTGACTTAATTTTCGAAACAACAGCTACAATAAATTGCATAATATTACGACCTTTTCCTCAAAACAGGTCTCAGAGTGAAATCCCTATGTATCACCCTTCAAAAATAAGATGAAGGAAATTGTTGTGTTTGAGGAGCGGCACCTGTCCACACAACCCTTTTTTGTTATCGGCTTAGTAGATTGCGCTGATCAGGAATACGACTCGTCCCCTAAGTTCTTCACTAAATTCCTTTGGCCTTTTTCTTTTGCCTGGTTGTTTCAGCAATTAGCCGTGGATCGCACTGTCGCCACCTTGAGATGTGTCGCCGTTTTCAAGCCCAGTGTGTCGGAAAATTTACGATGTTGGGAAGGAGAAAACTGGAATCGGCGAGAAACGCTCACTGCCTTTGAAGACAAATGTGATTAGTTCACCGTCACCTTTTCCTCATTTGGTACGGTTCACCCAGTACGAAGGTTACAAACAGTAGCAATGTATGGTCAAGTGCACAACAACTGTGAGAGGCAGAATAGGAAGAACAGCAGGAGTTCTGGTTCCTAGAAGTGACCAGCTTGGCTACCACTTGAGATTCCATCCAAAAGTTAGCCCACAGGAGAGTTACCCCGTTAAGCTACCAAACCACGGCTGGAGTAAGTTTGTTGGTGATGGTTGCAATTAGTCGGGTGTGGTCTCGCGTTCCCATTTACGAGCTCGTTTGTCAGGCGTCTAGCGTCTGATAAGTAATGTTACTATCAAAACAATGTGCCGTTATCAGGTGAGAAACTACCTCCGCATCTCAAACTCTGAGCAAAAATCGGAACACGGAATTCGGGACACGCTGGACATGTTCTAAACCATTGCTCCACTCTGAGAACAGCCAACATAAACCATTCAGCCATTGGAGGCACAGTGAACTTGAACAACCCGAACAAGGCATTTCGATTTGCCGAGAAATCTTTGCAGCAACGCGGGCAAAAACTTTAACGCAGGCGTTGGCGACAGAGCTCATTTCGTCTCAAGGACAGCTATTTTAGGCCATATAAAGGAGATTGCGACGAGTTGCTAGGCAAACAACGACAAGGATTGCCTCTGTTCTTGTCAGTGGACGTAAGTGCTTACGAAGGACGACTAAAAATAATAAAATCGTTGAAACCAACCAAGATGAATGTAGATATTCTGAGCATTCCAACCGCTGGGTGGAGCCAGTATTCTACCCGTGCTCGTGTCATAACTGTAAACATAAAGTAGTTAGTGGGTCTCAAACAAGTTTTGAGCCAGTAATCACAGTACTGCTGGAGGGCGGTGCGGTTTTGATGACCTCAGTGAACGTCATTGGTGGATTAGACTCCCTTAACGCGCTAGAGTGTGGTTAGGTGCGCCTCTTGACGCCCTTCCACTGGTGACGCTCAGGTGGATGTCAGACTCGGCGGATGCGCAATCGCGTTAGCGTTGGGCCAGGGTCAACCGTTACGTTGGACCGATATTGGAGCGACGTTGGACCGATGTTCACCGCTCTCCGCGCCGGCATTCACTCTCGCCACCCGCGAGCCGTCTGTGTCTCCGTGCGTACGTTCACTCTCGGCATTACTCTCGTCGTCGCGTTGGACTTTGTCCAACGGACGGTTGACCCTGGTGGGGCCGTTTACTGCACAGTGGCCGAGTGGGGTGTGTCATTATTGATCCGTATGGTTTGCGTTATACGCGCTGTCGCTGTCGCTATCGCGACCGCAGTCGCCGAGTCTCACGTCCACCTTAGCGACGTCATCAAAACCGCAACGCCCCCACCCATCCTGCACCACCTTTAAACGATACCGACGTCATTTTACTTACTCGAGTGGTCGGCGTTGTCCATTTTCGCGATAGTATAATCCATGCGCTCCTGGAACGACGGACTGCACCGATGAGAACACAATACCGGTCTCATCGGTTGACACCTCAACTGGTTCAATTTGTAGCCGTACCCATGCTGAAATATGAATTCATTAAGTGAAACTAGAAAATTTTACTTATCCAACTACTTTGTAACACCAAGAAAGTTGGGTTAGCTACGGGAATCTTATATTGTGGTCACTGGTAGAAATGCTTGTGTCAGACCAGTCGTCTGAGTTCAAACTGATCACGTGTGATAAAGATAACAATGTTATTTTTGGTGTGATTACACAATTTTGTGCCACCTGTCAACAGCGACTACTGTAACAAGATTACTACTGTGAAGTTAAACAGTACATTTCATTACAAAAGTTCACCATACTCATCAATCACGCGGAATGACGGCACCATTACAGTGTGGTGTAATCAGTAAAAGAACTTGCATGCGATGATATCCGTAGTGTTTACTACAAAGTAAGCTAGAGTTAGTAATAGCATCACTCGAAAAGATCGATTTATTTTTCATGCTTGACTATAACGTGTGAGATAACCTGTTTCTAAGTTTCACCACGACCAGTGGAAAAATTGTGCAAAAAATACTTTAAAACCCTCACATCTGAATACTTGAAGAAATTACTAAATTGCGATTGGAAGTAGTTTATTACGCGACGCTTTTCTGCTCTATATGAAAATATGAGAATAGTGAGTCACCCGCTTTTTGGGAACATGTTTTGCAGCACATTATCTCACACACAAAACATAACTATTGATCGATCGTGACTAAAGTGTCCGTTAACCGCGATGAACATCGCGTCGAGGAACTAACCGCAGCAGTACGACCCGTTACCCCATTTTCAACGGCTCGATCCCCCTATCCCCCCTCACATCCTCCATGTTGTCGTGGACCTAGTTCCCAACTTCGCCTTCAGAATTCCTCCAAAAATTGCCTTCGGACCATATTTGGCTTAGAAATAGCAAATTTTATGTTTTGAGCCGATATTTCATTCTGTTCATTTTCCCACTCAACTCGTTGCATCCTACCACCCCCCCCCCCTCCCACTCCTCAAAATTCTGGTTACCATTCCGCTACTCCTGCTCAAGTAAAATGGTAGTGAATCCTCGACAATTGTAGCTCCCACTGCCGTAAGAAAAGATCATTTGCAGTGTGATGGGAGCAAAGTGCACTTATACTAACCAAAGTGCGACCTTGGAGCTCAGAAGTTCTGCAATTGCAGACGATCATTTTCAACTGCTGAGAGTGCTTAAGTTAGCGTAGTACAACTTTTTACTGCCCGCTACGCTCACAACTGTTGCGACGCAACAAAAAGGAACAATCGACTTCGTTCTTGAAGGCTGGTCGTCCGATAAATAGAGACGAACACTTTTCAAGAGTCGACAATCTAGACGGTGCAAGGCACCTGCCCTTCACGGAAATGAGAGATGAACTCACTTTTGGACAGCGGATTTATAACATCGCTGGCCATCTCGCGCGTATCCTAAAAAGAACATTTGAATGGAGTACGGTATGCTGTACAACACGAATTTGGTCGGAAACAATAGTTGAGGCGAAAATCAGCTTCACAACAGCACTTAAGTTGAAAAAAATTGCCCAACGAATATTAGATCGGTTCACACTTCGTACGAGCGCTTTGAATAAATGAACTTATAGTAGAAAAAAGTAGGAAAAGTCTATTCAAAATAAGGGAAAGACGTTGCGGTGCACTTTCTGTCCGATGCCATTATGGCTCAAGGAGTCCTTCAACCCATTCGCGACCGCGCAGGATTGCGCAATAGCAGCAGCGTCAGGAGATTTTTCTTCAATAAAATCCGAGTGGAGGGAGATTTCCTCTGCCCAGGGCTGGCGTAGATGAGCGAGGGTATGAAGATTCTTTCCATGGAAGAAAACTTTCCAAATTCCATTTCAAGCCCTGCAGCCACAGTAATACCATTGTCCCGAGTGAGAGCTTTGTCAGCCACCGGTGGCTGACATTGTCACGAATGGGTTAAAGTTACAAACTGCTAACAACTCTATTTCTACGTTTCTTCTTCTGGTTTTTTATAGACGTGTTCTAGTGTTTTATAACATGAACGTCTAGAAAAATAGATATTTACCTAGTGAGCAGCTAGGACTAAGCCTAGGAAGGAGGAAGAAATCCCGCTGCCCCTGAAGAAAGTAGCATTGCTCTTTAAATCAGGGGTAAATATTACTCGCTTCTGAGGGTTAGTCGTGAACCTTTACACCG